TGGTGGCAGCTGCCCCTCCTGCCATCCCCACGTCCATCCCTCTACCCTCTTCTTCTTCTGCTCGCCTATGCCTGGGAATGTTTCCGACACGTTCTGCACCATGGCATGTGGGACTTGGGATGGTATGGCATGGGTGCATGGCATGGGTGTATGGCATGGGTGCATGGCTATGGGTGGTGTCCTGGATGGATGGCAGTGGACGCTTTGGCGAGTCTAGCACACGAATGGAACGATATGTGGGGTGTGGGGACATGGAGCAGGGGCGCGGATTGCGACAAATTCGAGAATGTGCACTGTGATGGCGACGGGCATGTCATTGCACTGTAAGCATGTCATTGCACTGTAAGCATGTCATTGCACTGTAAGGATGTCATTGCACTGTAAGGATGTCATTGCACTGTAAGGATGTCATTGCACTGTAAGGATGTCATTGCACTGTAAGGATGTCATTGCACTGTAAGGATGTCATTGCACTGTAAGGAGGTCATTGCACTGTAAGGATGTCATTGCACTGTGAGGATGTCATTGCACTGTAAGGATGTCATTGCACTGTAAGGATGTCATTGCACTGTAAGGAGGTCATTGCACTGTAAGGATGTCATTGCACTGTGAGGATGTCATTGCACTGTAAGGATGTCATTGCACTGTACAAACTGCATTCTCCCCTTGCACTTTGATTCCATTTTCCCCCATTGTGAAACCGGTATTTGAGTCTACTGATTTATTCTCGGATGGTCCATTGAGTCTCTCTCCCTCCCTCCCTCCCTCCCTCCCTGCCATCCGTCTCCTCCCACAGCACCATCACACATGGGTGCGACCTCAACGGCCCCCTGCCAACTGCTCTCCTCGCATTGTCCCATCTCAAGGATCTGTGAGACTCCTTTTCCACTCTCCCTTCCCCACTGGCGGTCACGCGTTCGATCCCCCACTCCCCCCCAATGACTTTCCCTTGCTTGTAGTGACTGTCTTGCATTCGATTGGTTGAACACGGCTTGCCCTGTCTTGCCCTGTCTTGCCTGCCTTCTCTTCTATTCTCTCATCTTGTCTCATCCACATCGGCCCTCTCTTGTGCCTCTCCCCCTTTACTATCATTCTGGCCCCACCCCTGTGTCCTTCCTTTTTTCCGTACCCCTATGATCCCCATTCTTGCGTGTGCTGGCGGCCTGCAGGGATTTGAGGCATTGCTTTCATCTCCCTTCCTCGCTCCCGTATAACATACCAGCCTACATGTCAGTTCTACATTCCCTCCCTCGCTCCCACCTCGCTCTTCTCTCTGTCACGGGCCATCACACTACCTTGCTCCGCCTGTTTGCCATCACCCACCCTCTTTTGTTTTCCCAAAACAAAAGGGACCCATATCTACCTTCATGTGCACCCTCCTTCTCAGGCACTCCAAATCCACTCCACTTCTTCCCTGTTTCCCCTCTTCCGCTCTTTCTCCCCTCCCTGCCTTCTCACCTCCCTGCCCGCTCCCCTCGTTTCCTTATCCTATTCGTGCATGCCATGGCCCCAACCATGCAACAGCGCAGCCCATCGCATTGATCTCAAAGGGCTCAGCAATCTTCAGCAGCTCACTCGCCTGTGAGTGCGCTTGGGAGGAGGGTGCAGCACGTGGGGGGGGGGAGTGAGTGGGTGGGTGAGTGGGTCAGACCGTGAGAGGTGAGAGAATGAGTGTAAGTGGTGGGTACAGCCTTGTTCCTCCACCGGTATTTGTGTCGACTCCATGTCCATCTGCCCCCTCACACCCCATCTGCCCCCTCACACCCCATCTGCCCCCTCACACCCCATCTGCCCCCTCACACACACCCCATCGCCGTGATCTCTTTCTTCCCACCTGCACTGCCTGCTGCTCCCCACTCCAATCCATCTCCCGCCACTCGTTTCTCTCCTTTAGCCTCTCGTCAGCAGCCCCCTCCCCTGCAGCACCCTCCGATGTTTCTTAACCCTCCGCATCTGTGGTGCATGGATGATGCATACATGGTGCATGGATGATGGATACATGGTGCGTGCATGGTGCATACATGGTGCGTGCATGGTGCATAAATGGCGCGTGCATGGCGCATACATGGTGCGTGCATGGTGCATATATGGTGCGTGCATGGTGCATACATGGTGCGTGCATGGTGCATACATGGTGCGTGCATGGTGCATACATGGTGCGTGCATGGTGCATACATGGTGCGTGCATGGTGCATACATGGTGCGTGCATGGTGCATACATGGTGCGTGCATGGTGCATATATGGTGCGTGCATGGTGCATACATGGTGCGTGCATGGTGCATACATGGTGCGTGCATGGTGCATACATGGCGCGTGCATGGCGCATACATGGTGCGTGCATGGTGCATACATGGTGCGTGCATGGTGCATACATGGTGCGTGCATGGTGCATACATGGTGCGTGCATGGTGCATACATGGTGCGTGCATGGTGCATACATGGTGCGTGCATGGTGCATACATGGTGCGTGCATGGTGCATACATGGTGCGTGCATGGTGCATACATGGTGCGTGCATGGTGCATACATGGTGCGTGCATGGTGCATACATGGCGCGTGCATGGCGCATACATGGTGCGTGCATGGTGCATACATGGTGCGTGCATGGTGCATACATGGTGCGTGCATGGTGCATACATGGTGCGTGCATGGTGCATACATGGTGCGTGCATGGTGCATACATGGCGCGTGCATGGTGCATACATGGTGCGTGGATGGAGTAAGCAGGCATTTGGAGGATATCCTCTTACTCGACTCACTACCAGAGCAGCTCTCCCAGCTGCAGAAGCTGCAGTCTCTGTAAGGCCGGGTGAGGGGCATGCGATGGCATGTGATGGCATGTGATGGCATGTGATGGCATGTGATGGCATGTGATGGCATGTGATGGCATGTGATGGCATGGGATGGCATGTGATGGCATGTGATGGCATGTGATGGCATGTGATGGCATGTGATGGCATGTGATGGCATGTGATGGCATGTGATGGCATGGGATGGCATGGGATGGCATGTGATGGCATGGGATGGCATGGGATGGCATGGGATGGCATGTGATGGCATGGGATGGCATGTGATGGCATGGGATGGCATGTGATGGCATGGGATGGCATGTGATGGAATGTGGTGGCATGGGATGGCATGTGGTGGCATGGGATGGCATGTGATGGCACATGCTGGCACCCTACATGATGTGCGAAGCCTGAGGGGCATGTGAAGTGTTGTGCCCTTCCTGCTCTTGCCATGCTCGCCCCTTTCCTTTCTTTTTTCTCCTCGCTCTTCACTTTCACCTTGCCCATCCTCCCACACCAATTCGTGGGTTCTTCATACCATTTTTTTCCTGCAGCCTCCCTGTTCATATGTTCGTTACTTCTTGACTGCTCCTCTCATGGCTGCTGCTTCTCTCTGTGCTGTTTCCCTCATCAGGCGCGTGACACATCATAATCAACTGTCTGGGGAGCTGCCTGCGTGGATCTTCAGCCTCACAGATTTGACTTCACTGTGCGTGCTGCCATGCACCATCTGCCATGCACCATCTGCCATGCACCATCTGCCATGCACCATCTGCCATGCACCACGCCCCATCGAACATCGTTTTGTCAGAAATAGAGCTTAGAATTGATACATCAGTAATGACCTTGAAGCTCATTAAGTACAACCAGAATGAGCAAGGTATGGATGGGGAGGGAATCGGGGCAATCCCTAGGGATTGGGGGTAATCACAAGGCAAGCTCCTATTGGTGGGTTGGAGATTGCTCGGAGATCACATTTGGTTTAGGTTGGGACGTGGGTGTACACCCAACCAAACACAGCGTGCAAAGTACACTAAACTAGGATAAAAAAATAAAAGTGCAAAATGTGAGATTGAGCGCTAACAGTAACACCTTTTCCTCAAAAAGCATGCCCTTGTCGACCCTTTCTTATCTCAACAAACGTTTTTGCACATTTAGTTCGCAAAGGATTCCAGTAGTTGCATTCAACAGTACACAACTTTACATTGCTGCCTTCCAGCCTTCCCTCTCCAATAATTCCCCTCCCCTCTCTGCACTTCCCTCCTCCCCATTTCCGTCCAACCATCTCAATGCGCCAGGACTATCCGGGAGAACAACTTTTCAGGCTCCATTCCAGAGGCAATCAGCAGCCTCAAGCAGCTGAGGGAGTTGTGAGTGCTGAATTGCACGACACAGGCAGAGCAGACACATGCCCTGCAGGTATGTGCATTGCTGGTATATGCACTGGCAGGTGTATGCAGTACTGGTGCTGCGAGGTTGGTGCTGCAGTGCACAGGGGATGCATGTGAGACAATGCGTTATCAACCTTCCCACACCCAACCTCCTCCGCTCCCCTCCACCATTCCTCTCTGTGCCACACTTCACCGCACTGCGCTGCACTTGATCGCAGTGCCCTTAGCGAGGACAGGGTGTCAGGAACCATCCCCGAGTCAATAGGAGCGCTCACCAATCTGGAAAATCTGTACGGAAGTGGGATGTGCATCATGATATGCCAATGGGATACTGATAGTGCATTTTGAGTCTTGCAAGCCATTGTTGCCTGATGCCGCAACTCACATCACCAGCTCGACCACACAACTCACAGGGGAAGAATTGCAAGCCATGAGTCTTGGGGAGGAAGGCATTGGTACTGCCTGCAGTCCGTTTCGAATGCCTCTTGTGCCTTTGCAATGGCTCTTCCCTCTAGTTCTCATGCTTGTGTAACTGCGGCTTCTTTTCCCCCTTCGGAGCTTCTCGGGTAACGTGGCTTGTTTGACGGAAGCTTGATTGATTGTGAGAATTCCAAAAACCAATCCACGGAGCTTCTCCAGTACCCAGGGCACCACATCCAGGGCAGTGGGCACCACATCCAGGGCAGTGGGCACCACATCCACCGCTGCCATGAGCTGCCATGAGCTGCCATGAGCTGCCATCAATCTACGGAGCTGCCACACATCTTCAATCCGCTACTACATGCCTGACCTTATCTTCGATCCCCTGCCGTCTCATCCCATGCCATGCCATCCCATGACATCCCGTCCCATGCAATCCCAACACATGCCATCCCGTCCCATCACATCCCGTCCCATGCAATCCCAACACATGCCATCCCGTCCCATCACATTCCATCCCATGCCCTCCCATGCCACCACATGGCAGGTGGCTGCTCTGCAACAGCCCGAGTGGCACCATTCCCGCCTCCATTGCCCAACTCACCGCACTCACCACCTTGTGTGGCCACTATCCCTCCACCCGCCTATTTCCCGTTCTCCCTCCAACCCTTCCCTCTCGCATTCTCCCTCCACCCCCCTCTCTCCCATTCTCTGCACTATGATTCCCTGCCCTGTGATATCAGCAAGTAAATTCGAAACACTGCATGCTTTTCAGCCAGCTTTGAAGTATTCATATGACGTTGCAGGGAGTTTTTGAGAATTCTCAAAAACTCCCTGCAGTAGTCATATGACGCCACCACATTCCACAAGAACGCTCGGATCGATAAAAAGATCTCTGAACTCTGCACTGTTTCCACCCACCCATGTGACTTTTGAGTCGACTCAAAAGTCACCTGGATAAAAAGATCTGAACTCTGCACTGTTTCCACCCACCCATCCACCATTCTGGCGTTGCCTTCCATTCTCTCCTCCATTTCTCTCCTCCACGCATTCAATGCCTCTCCTTCCTCTCTCCGACCTTCCCCTCACCTCCCTTTTCATTGCCTCCCTTCCGCCCTCTGCCCACCCTCCCCTTGCTCCAGGGAAATTCGTCAGTTTCCATTCCGTATGGACAGCGGCCTCTCAGGCTCCATTCCAGAGGCAATCAGCAGCCTCAAGCAGCTACAGCGGTTGTGAGTGGTGATGGGGAGTTTTAGCTTGTGCAACCCATCCCCTCCCATCCCATCCCATCCGATCCCATCCCATCCCATCCCATCCCATTCCCACCGCATCCCATCCCATACCATCCCAATCCCATCTCTCTCACTGCTTTCTTCCCTGATGCCTTCTCTCCCATTCTTCTCTCCCTTACACCTCCTTTACCTCCACTACTAGCAAAAGGCAACTATAGCAGCATTTAAGCTTTTCGTCACCTGCAAAATCATAACAATACGACCACCATGAGAATGCTACATGAAAATGTTACAGGAGAATGCTTCGGATCATGAAGAAGCTTCTCTTCACTGCTTCCATCCATCCATCCACCACTTCAGCTTTCCAATTCCAATCTCTTGATCATGATTGTCCTTCCTGCCTTCTACCTCCAATGCCTCCCCTTCCCCTCGCCACCCTTCCCCTCCCCGCCTTCCCCTCCCCACCTTTCCCTCCCCGCCTTCCCCTCTCCGCCTTTCCCTCTCCGACGCACCCTCACCATGCTCCAGATACCTCAACGATAACATTCTCTCAGGCTCCATTCCAGAGGCAATCAGCAGCCTCAAGCAGCTGCGGGAGTTGTGAGTGGTGATGGGGTAGGCATTTTCAAGGTGCTGCGGAATGATTAGGTGTGGTAGATCCCCTCAGTGAGCAAGTGAGTGGGAGAGTGAGGGTGGGCAAGTCAGTGACTTGTGGGTGTAAGTGTGAGTGAGTGAGTGGGTGAGGGGATGAGAGAGTGAGTGGAGGCATCCCTATGGGCTAATGGCCTGCCCGTCCATCCCATTCGATACCATTCCATCCCATCCAATCATACCATTCACTCCCATGCTATGCCATTCCATCCGAGGCAGGTTTCTGCAGGACAATAGGCTGAGTGGTACTATTCCCGCCTGCATCGGCAACCTGACCGCACTCACCAGCCTGTGCGCCCATTCTCCCTCCAACCCCCCTTCACCGTATCCCTCTTTCCGCATGCCTCTCTCTGCCAAGCATCGGGGGTTTGGATATGAGAGTACGGAGCACTTTTTGTCGTCTTCAATTTCTCAAGGCACACACTTCTCCTCCTCTCTTCTTCACTTCTCCTCCCCTCCTCTCCCCCGCTCCTCCCCTCCTCTTCCCCCCTTCTCCGCTTCGTCTCTTCTCCTTGTCACCTCTTCCCCTCTTTTTCTCTCCTTCCCTCCTTGTCCATTCATCCACCTGTCTTCAGAGTACTCAATGCCAATCGCCTTGCAGGGACGATACCTGCTGCAATCACCACGCTCACTTATCTCGAATACCTGTCAGTGTTACCGCCTTGATCGTCCCCACACCCAACTGTCTTAAATGGTGGAGTCTTTGTTTGATCTTAAATGGTGGAGTCTCTGCCGAGCTGACTTGAAAGGCATGTCTGTTGAGCCAAAAGGTCCAAAACCCACCACCAGCTCCAGTCGACTGAAAGGTCACCGCATGTACTCATCTCCAACAACTGTCAGTACTGCACATATTTTCATCTCTTCTTCTCGTCATCTCTTCTTCTCTTCATCTCTTCTTCTCTTCTTCTCGTCATCTCTTCATCTCTTCTTCTCCTCATCTCTTCTTCTCGTCATCTCTTCATCTCTTCTTCTCTTCTTCTCTTCTTCTCTTCTTCTATTCATCTCTTCTTCTCCTCATCTCTTCTTCTCGTCATCTCTTCATCTCTTCTTCTCTTCTTCTCTTCATATCTTCTTCTCTTCTTCTCTTCATATCTTCTTACAGCGTTGACAAACCCATCTGATCCAATACAGTGTTGGCTTATGAAAAATCGGATTTGACGACTCAAGATTCGACGACTCAAGATTTGACGCCTCAAGATCCGACAACATGAAATTCTACTCCTGTCTCATCACTCCCCCTTTCCTGCACTCCATCTTTCCCCACACTCCCATTCCCAACCACTCCTCTTCCTTCCCACCTCTTCCCCTCCCACCTTCCTTTCGCATCACAGCCGCCTTGACCACAACCAGCTGACGGGAGAGCTGCCCTCCTTCCACCACATGGTCCGTCTCACTTCGCAACGCGGACTGTCAGCAGACCACAACTACCTCACATCCACAGCAGAACCTCTCCCTTTCAACGCTACCAGCCTAGAGGATCCTGCAAAATCCCACAGCTTGTGTCTGTTCCACCACAACTGCCTCGGACACAGCTCCATCAACTGCGGCCGTTGGCACCTCCAGAAGCAACAGAGGCGCACCAGCGAGTGCCGGGCGTTCTGTGGGGCGCAGCCGCTCACCCCACCGTGCAGCGGCCGTGGCGTGTGCTCCTTCGAGCTGGACCCGTCTGAGGAGATGAGTGCCTGTGAGGCTGAAGATGTGCCGCCGCCACCCTACTGTGAACCCGAGGGCCAGTGCGTCTGTGATGAGGGGTACACGCCAGGGCCTGCTGCTGGCACGTGTGTCCCTCATGGTATGCCTTTTGCTGAATGCCCTCGCTAGCTGGTGCCTGCTTGCCAACATGCCTGCTTGCTACCCACACATGCCCCCGTGGGTTCCACCGGGCTGCTCGTGCCGGGTAGTGTCACTCGCGCTCCTCCACTGGCCGCACTGAGTCCATTCGGAGCACCCTAGAAAAAGTGGAAACTGTACACGCATGCCGGGGTGTCAGTCCTGTTTCCCTCCACTCAAGCCACACTGCGTCTGCATCGTGCACGCATCCGGCTCACAGTCTCTGTGAGCCCGTCAAGACCGCACTGCCCTTACCCGTCCCGACTTTCTTTACATGCCAACTTCAGTCCACTGCTCCCATCCGCTCCTCCCTCCCTTCCCCCCTTCCCCCATCCACCCTGCACGCACCAACCCATCATCTGGAACACTAGGCACAACAGCCATGGGGGTGGCACTACCTTCACCATCCCACCCTCTGAACCACCATGCGCCATTCTCCTCCACTCTCTCTTTCCACAACCCATCCTCTGAACCACCAGGCATAGCAGTGGTGGGGGTGGCTCTGTCTGCTCTCCACGTGCCTCAAAACCTGCTGCTGTTGCTGCTGCTTCCACTGGTGGTGCTGCTGCTGCTGGCCTTCAATCTGCCGCAGTTGCTGAGGCGCCTCAAGAGTCGACCCCCCACACGCTACTTCTTTTCAAAGAGAGCCCTTGCTGCCCGGAAAGCTGCCATGGGTTTGGAGATCAATTGTTAGTGCAGTACTGCCAAGGGTTGACTACCACGACGAAATGTTTTTTTATTTTACCTTCCAAGAAATTACTGCCACCCAGAAATGACTACCTCCTTTCGCTAGGTTACAATGCCATGCAATGCGAGCCTGAGGAGTCTAAACCGAATCTGAGGGCCTGTTGGGTGTCCGATCCTGGTTGCATCTATAACACTGTAGATGCCATTATAATCCTTATTGAAATATGTAGTACTGCCTTAATATTAGTTGTGTTACGAATAGTAATATTCGATATTACTAAGCACTCCTCACCGTAGCAAGGTACGCACAATATCGGGAACGAACGCAAGTGTCAGACGGTTGGAATTATGTCAAAGAGTCGGACGGTTACAACACATCTGAACCGTCGGAAGCAAACGGCATCGGACAACTACAGGCAGGATGGTTTTGGCGGGAACAGTTACGAAACTGTAACGCGCCGAACGGTTGGGATGCTTTTGAATAAGGGAATGTACCCCTGAGAGTACATGGCTAGTTCGATCGTTTCGAATTCCCTCGTACTCATATTTATATCGCTGTATTTGCATGTTTTCATTATCTCAAGCATTTTACATTCACTCTGCTATTGAGATCAAGGGCCCACCAACACTACCCACTGCGTGCGAACCTACAAGAGTAGATCCTGGGTTACGATCAACTTCTGATCGCAGCATGGTATGAGAGCGACTCTGGAATCCTTCGCACCGTCACTACCGAAAATTACGACATCTGAAAAGTGGCGACCGGCACACGATCACGCACGAGGATGGCCGGAGGATTTGGTGGTCAGACTAATCTGACGGCTGAAGCACAACCCAACCCGGCTGGGACAAGCGGGAACACGACGACAATCGACTCCGAATTTCTCGCACAACTTCTTCAGCGACTCACCAGCTTGGAGCAAGGACTCCAGACATTGCGGAATGGCGATGCGGGAACTTCCTCGCAACCCTCTCAACCGGCCCCGACTGGCCAAAACACTGCCCCGCAAACATTCTCCCTCGACACCAATGGCTCAACTCCCAAGACTCCCCGTCCCAGTGAAGAGGCAATTCTCTCCGCTCAATCAAGGTTTCTCAGCATATCAAAAATAAAGACTAGTACCTGTTTTGACGGCAGATACTTCTATACCTGGAGTTTCGAATTGGAGCTTTTGCTGCAGAACGCCCAAATCTTCCATTACTTCGACGGGAGCTACGCGGAGCCTGCTGAGGACACCGACGACGCCAAAACGAGGTACTACAACGAATCGTTGATGGCGTACGGAGTGCTCCTGCGGAATATGTCGGCGGCGGAGCAGCTCAACATTCGTTCGTACAAAACGACAGCTGCTCCAGCCCTCAACGCCTGGCGACATTTGACGGGCGTGTATCAGCCCAAGGACTCCGTGTCCTCAAGCCGACTACTCCAAGAACTACTGGAAACCAAGATGACCTCAGGGGAGAAGGTCAACAACTACCTTAACCGCTGTCGGAGCCTTCGCGATCAAATCGTGAAGTTGGGAAGCACGATATCGGAAGAAATCTTCGTCAACATCGTGCTCCAAGGGCTCGGCCCAGAGTGGCGGCCCTGCAAGGCGCTTCTCCGACAGCAGGGGGCCATCTCGGAGGCCGCCCTTTGCGCCGCCCTTCTCGTCGAACAAAGGGATATGGACCAGCAGCGACCAGCACCATGACGAGAACGCGAACGGCTCGCCTTCTACGCCGACAACAACGAAGAGCGACGGCCGAGGCGCCTCTACTGCAAAAGTTGCAGAAATTTCGGGCACCTGGCGGATCGATGCAAATTCCGATCTCGCCCTCGCCAGTCCAATCCGAGCACTTGGACCGGCCGACAAGATGCACGAGGCGACGTGCGTTCAGCCCAGGGACAACAACTCCCACCTGCGCGCAACCTGAACCCAGCAGTTCAGCACCAGCAGCAGCAGTCGTCATCGACTGCTCCAGTTCGCAACGTCATTAGCAACATGACCTTGACAAGCGAGTCGCGTCGTCGCCGCATACGCTCACCTTCACTTGAGCCAGCACCACACCCCATTGGCGCATATACCAACAACAACCCTTTCAGCTCGCGCCGCGACTACACCGACGACGACGACCAGGACTAGAATCTCCCAGTCCCGCTGCTCGAAAGTCCCCCGCACGTCCCTGATATGCGGGTGGCGCCACTTGATTGGCTCACGCGCGAACAATTTCTCAAGTTCGACACCCCGCACATCGTCACGCCGCGACTGGCGCTGCTCGCACGTGACGACAACAAGCGCTACAACACCTGGTACCTGGACAGCTGCTGCGGCCAGCATATGGTGGGCTCCGAGCGTTACATATCCAACGCCGCCCCCACCCCTACCGTCACGTACGTCACTGTGGCGAACAATACACGCCTGCGTGCAAGCGCGCAAGGCATCATCGTGCTCAAAGCACGCGGAAGCCGCACCCACATCACACTCAACGATGTGTTGATCGTCCAGAACCTGCGCTTCAACCTTCTGTCCGCCGCACAGCTCATGGACTGCGGTGTCGACCTCAGCACGGACCACGCGACGCGTGACATCCTGCTGCACTACGAAGCTCGCAACTTCCCCCGCAGGCAGATCGGACGAGCACGCTCTGAAAATGGAGTATACGTCTTGGATTTTGACATCCCCGACTGCAGCGGCGACTCGCACGAACTAATCGACCTCGTGCCACTGCGCTTCGAGCACATCCACCGCAGGGACTGGAAGCACCCTGACGGCAGACCGTGGGTTCCGCACCATCCCCACCCACGCGAAACGGCACTTCACAATCCCGATCCGGACGGAATATGCAGGGATTGTCACACGCCGACGACTTCAACGAACGCGATCGCCGGCCGGGGACTCGCCGCCATCGCTGAAGCAGAGCGCCACATGCCCCCAAGGGAAGGGATGTCGCAGCTCGAGCTCGAAGTCACCACCCACGGCGTCTTCGGCACACCAGAACATCCCCTCATCGGTCCCCCCTCGCAACACCTTCAGGGGATGCTGCGCGGAACTGGCGTCGGCACCTTCGATGCCCGTGGCGAGCCGCGACCCTACACCTACGAGAAATTCCTGGAGACCTACCCTCATCAACACGATTCGACGAAGAAGCTCACCGTGGAACAAGAGGAAGAATTGGCGCGCCGCGAAGCTGAGGAGCTTCGCCAGCAAAGCCTCGCAGAGGCACGCGAGACCTTCGCTTGCGCTGCCTGGGGAGGTGAAGCGGCAGAAAATGACTCCAACGAAGGAGGATGGGGAAGCGCTGGCGGATGGGGAACAAGCGACGCTAGCGGCTGGGGAGACCGCGGCGGCACCTGGGCCAACGTGGGCGGCGGATGGGGCGCCGCAACTGGCGCCGACAACAGCGCCTGGGGCACTCTCCGCGAAGAACGAAGGGGGGGAGAAGATGAAGCTGAGGAAAGTCAGGCAACACCCGCAATCGTTCCTCTCGGTCGTCCCCCGCGCCACGTTCCACTCGCACTACCCCCTCCTGACAACCCCCCGCTGGGATTCAAACTTATCAACAGCAGTTGGGATGCCTCCTCTTTGCCTCTGTCACCTGCAGGCCAGACCTCTCGTACATT